TCTTTCCATGAATCTAGAGTCTTCAGCTGCTCTATTTCACAATGTCATCATCTTTGCCTCCATCTCTGGTGTAGCTGCCTCACATTCCGCTCCTGTGCCTCTCCCTTGATAGTCTAGGGTCTTCTGTTGCTGGACTGTAAGATTAACTACTCCCCCTTTTGTTATAAAACGTCTACCTTTACAGTTGTGACAATCGCAATTAGTTATGTTAACAGTTATTCACTATTGAATCAGAAGAATCTTATCCCCATCTCTTTTCACCAGACACATCTAGACAAGATGAAAACTATTCAGTGGGGATTCTACCTTCCCCTACACACTCTGAAACTAAATTCTCTCTTGAAAACTTAAAAGCGAGCCACTCATGCCTTTTTGAGTCCTGGTGTGGCGCTGTAGGTTAATGCACCAGACTGCAAAGCCGTTTGAACTGCAAGGTTGGCAGTTCAAGCTCACCAGTTGCTCCTTGGAAACCCTATACAGGGTCGCTATGGCTTGGAATCGACTCGACGGCACTTAACAACAACAACCCTCATTTTAGGTTGCCAATGTTTTAAGTTGCGTAGTGGTTACGAATCGGACTGCGAACCACAAGGTCAGCAGTTCGAAAGTACCAGCTGTTCCGTGGGAGAAAGATGAGGCGTTCTGCTCCCGTAAAGATTTACAGCCTCGGAAACCCTGTACAGGGTCTCTATGAGTCGGAACTGACTCCACGGCACATAACAACAATAACAACAACATTCATAAGTTTAGATCAAGTTCATCAAATTGTAGCAATTTACACTTGTTTCCTTTATCAAATTTCTTTATCTTGCTCTATTTGAGTTCTTATTATCAAGCCCTCAAAGGTAGGTCACATAGATACTATCTGCAAGTTTGGGCATTCCTGTGCATCTCCCCTCATTTCATATGAGTTGGACACTTCACTCTTGGCTCTAGCCCTCTGTGGCTATGTCCTTGTACATGGGCTTAGGTGTCCTCAGGTCTCACCACATGGACTCCATGGCACACCACCACCATATATATTCCTCTATAATCCTTGGTATCAATCACCCACTCCTCTTCCTTCAAGTCCCATGGTTCTGCAACAAACTGTAATGGCTCACAAAACTTACACAATTGTCAAAAGAAGTGGCTCACCCAATTGTGGAAGCTAACAAGACCAAATCTGTAGTTCAGAGATAGATTTGGAGGAATCTTTTCATTTATGTAGTCTCAAGAGCTGAGGAACCCAAATTGGCAGGTCACACCATGAGCTGTTGATGTACAAGGTTGTGGGAGCTGGTGAATTAGGTCAGGTGATGGGCTGAAAGTTCCATAAACTGGAGGCCAGACATAGTGAGCCAGATTCAAGATCTAAGGCAAG